CTAAAATCAAGGAAAGATCCAAAACACTTTATCTTTTGGACTTTTCTCGCAATTACGGCACCACTGTTTTTTTTTCATTTCTACCTCTCTTGGACTACCGTTAGGATCCGTGTACTCAAATCCCACAACAGATAAGGTGTGTCGTTTTCACTTCTCTGCGGGCAGGTACAAGAAACTTCGAATTTGCATAGCTAGAAATAAATATGCACTGTGTTAAAAATATTTAAGGGCCGGGGGTTTTGTCGCCGCAAAAAAAGAAACAAGGCGTTATTCGGGTGCAAGAAGGTCTCGCTTGGGGCTGGATATGTTTCCCGTTCAGACCACTCCCCCCCCCCGGAGAGCGAGCAAAAACGTATCTCCCAAAAACCTGCGCTTGAGACTCGAGCGAAAACAGGCGAGTCGGTACTGTACCGTAACGTTGCCAGTCAGCGCACAGGGGTGCGATCGCTTTTCAAAGCGTAATTTCTCCACAGCCAGAAGGGTGCGAGCGCCACACTGATACTTCTCAGGAAAGCTCTCGATGAGATATTTCCAAACCCGCCCTTTTCGACAGCAGTGGTATTCTAACCTCCTGGTTGTGAAGAAATTACGCTTTGAAAACAAATCGTTCGCACCCCTGTGCGCTGACTCGCCACCTAACGGTGTATGCCATACGGCGGTATTTTTCGGCTTGAGCGGCGTTTTTTCGCCATTCTTCGGCCGTAAACTACGACGACGTCGGCGGAGGCGGCGAAACGAACAACCACCGCAGTTCGCAAGGCGGCATTTAGTTTCGCAAGGCGGTGTTCTATCGGCGAAAATGTCATGTGGCTGACTTGTTGCAACGTGAACCCGCTTTCATCCACTGGTTCCCACTCAAACACGAAGGGGGGACCGAGCCTTGATCAAGAACCAAAGGAGATGTGAGCAATGACGTATTCCTGGAAAGTCAGCAAGTGCACGCAGAACTCGAACCCCATCATCATTCACACTTCGTCCGAGTGGACCACGCAATGCCTCGTCTCCTGGCTCCATTACCGGCTACCGTCACGTAATCATTTTCTTGGTCTAACGCACCAGTTATTCATGTAGTAGCAAAAAGTTCAATCACACGTGCATGTATGCAAAATGCTCCGTACAATGCAATGCATGCATGCCGTCCCTCCTCGTGGCGGGGGGCAACAAAATCCTTTGATGACGAAAAAAACATGTGTCTCCGATCGAGATCATCCAAAAACTGCCAGAATTCAGTCCGCTCGAAAGTCGACTCTATAGATTCTATACAACTCAATCCTAAGTTGAGGTGACACACCAGTCCCTTGTCATCTCGGGCACCCCTCCTTTCACGATACGTGGAATCCTAAACGAACAGGAAGAGTGGGTGCGTTCTGGCCAATTCACTAACTATGTAGGTCGCGGTACGCGGCAAGGTCCTGCTGAGCAAATCGACGGAAAAAACAACACAACTCACTCTTGAAAGGAGGAAAACTCACGTCGCGCGCGCAGCGCATCACCCAACACGCGTGGTGTGTCGGTTGCCAACTACTGCTCCCGCAATCGAAAAACAAAAAAATCTCGTGCACAACTTGCACATCAAAACTGCTGTCGAAGAGAAAAAACATCCGCACAAACAATGGAAGATAAAACATGCACAAAACTTCGGTGCGCTTCACTCATGGTGATAACCTTTCAGGCAGCCGAAGGGGTCCACCGGGGCGAACAAAAAAAAGGGGGACCCGAGCACAACAACGGCTCGAAGGAAGAATCTCTCAGAAACCTATCTCCCCGACATCACTCAAGATGCCTTGCACTCAAGTTGGAAGACAGGGGATGAATGATCCAACCTCACAAGGACACAAGGCGCGCCGCGGTACGCACACACACGAACACACCAGATCATGGCCTAGTGTCTTTTCGACCGAACCGAGACTGGCGTATTTTAACCGGTCAGCCGGTTAGCGCGAACGATCGATGCTAGCAGCAAAAAACATGCACACACACACCTGTAAGAAAGTATGCACACCCCACAAACCGCCCGGACCGGCGGGGCCCCCTCCCCTGGGGGGGGACGGGGCGCATCTCACACACGGGCGATCTCGACAATCTCCGTCTGTCATCTACGACTCCTCGGCTACCAAGGCAGGGATCGGCCAATGGCCATAAAGGCAGCAGGGTCACACACACAAAACACAAATCTCGGCGAGCGGTGGATGCAATTTTGGGAAGAAACAATAATAAAGACGGGGAATTCGACAACGAGCGCATCTCTCTCCGTGATAAATGAAAGGCGAACCAAAAGAAGGGGTCATGGAAGAGTTCGCTGTCGTCATCGTCAGCCCGCCCGTCTTCGATGCACCCCAACTCTCGTCACAACCCGCCCATGTCCTACGGGTCCCATCGGATGATCTTCAAGAACTGCGGCGAGCAGCAGCATCAACAAGCAGGAAACGCGACAGTGGTATGGGTTGAGATGTAAGGTGGACGAATATTACGCGCTGCTGCCGTGTCAGCGGTGGTGGCGACAGCAGCAGCAGCAGCAGCAGCAGCAGCAGCAGCAGCAGCAGCAGCAGCGAGGGTCGAGATGCCAGCGAAGGCTGGGGCGGGGACAAGCCAACGATCAAGAACAACGGCACAACAAAACAGTTCACGCGCGTAGCCAATCATTTGTTCCAGCAAACATACGTACAATGCCCGCATACTCGAAAAAAAAAAAAAAAAACAGCTTGTCGGCGTGCATTCGATCGAACGGAACGTTCATCCTGTGAAACAAGGACATTTTGTAGCGGTGGGAAAACGAATTAACCATGGCCGCCAAAAATCGCAGCTGGTTAAATATCACTCCGTCTCCTGCGCTGAACGAGAAAAAACAAAAAACAAAAACGCGCGAATACCCCAAAAGGGGAACACACGGAACGGTCCTCCTGAGGAGTATCTCGAATAAAAATCTGTCAACACAACCACCGGCGCTTCACTTGCTCTCGCGCGGGGTCACAAAACGTCCCGCTACCTAACCCACCTCTTCGAAAGACACGCATCCGACGGCGTCGAGATCGAGCATGGTCATGATCTCCTCCACCGCGGACTCGTCCAGGAGAGGGTCAGCTCTGAGGAACGCAGCCTTGAGCTCGTCGAGGCTTAGCGTGCCTGACTTGGCCGTGTCGGCTCGGTCGAAGACCTGCCGCAGCTCCTGCGCGCGCAAGACACACCGGGGAGGAAAATATGCTGCCTTGCCAACTCTTCCCTCCATAAGCAGAACATCATGGCCTTTAGAAACGTTTTTGTTTTGGACCGTACTGAGAACGAATGACGTATTTTCATTGGTCCGCCGCTTTGGCGCGGTCGATGCTAAGGATAAGATTTCGGCAAAATAATAATTAGAAAAATCGTCTAAGAAACACACGTCAGCCGTGCATCCTACACATAAAACTCTACATTGCGTCCCCAAAACTGAAAATAAAAAAATATCCGCCCAAGCACCTCTAGATCAATCTACAATTTCGATCCCTGTGCATGCATCTGTAGAGCCGCGCGCTGGTTCTGTCCCCATGGTCGTCTCGATCAGAGGTCCATTTCTCCCTGACCGCCCCGGTCACGGTGACATAGTCTACACCTCCAAACACAATAGGATAACCTATACATGCTCGACGGTCGTGACCAAGTAAGAAAATAAAGCCTCTAGGCCCCACATTGACGTCGCTTCAAAAGCGCGGGCGCCCATTTTATTGAATCACCTCGTCCGAGAAGGTCGCCTCGCTTCCAAGCTCCGTGAGCAGCTTGTACACGCCGTGTCGGAACTGCCTCGCCCGAAGCATGCGCATCACGTCTCTACGGAACCCCGTCCGCCTCGCCATCAGGAGCCGTGCGAAGTCGTCGCCGCTGATCTCCTCCACTGCGCAACCGCCCTCGGCGGCGCACACGACAGAAGCGGACCTGGGCTGCGCCGTCATGAGCGCCATCTCCCCGAACAAGCTCCCTGCAGAACGGACACGGGGGGTGTGCCATGTAAAGGCATGCCGTAGTCGTTTGACCGGTGACGCCGGGACGGAGCGATATTACGGGATTTCGCCGGCTCGGGGGGCTTGAAACGTGTGCTGTGCTGCGTGTGTGAGCCGTTCACGATTCCCTTGCAATTGCGAGCTACCAACAATTCCCTTGCCTTTGTGAGCTTTGAACAACCCCCTTGCACTCAGCATCGATCGCGTTGTCAACGGCTGAGCACCCAACCAGCAACGGAGCGGCATGAAAGGTTTTGCCGTGGTGCGCGTGTGCGTGAGCTACCACAAAACACTCCCCCTGCCTACAGCATCGATCGCGTTCAAAACGACTGAAATTCCCAACCAACCACCGGATGACTCGCACCTGGCGACAGGCGGGCCACCGTGCGGTGGACCCCCGAGTGCTCCTTCACCACGTTGAGCTCTCCCTCCTCCACCGTGAACAGCGACGAGCCCCTGTCCCCCTGACGGAACACGGCCTCCCCAGGGCCCAGCAGCCTCTTCGTGACGGAGTGCACCGCGCGAACGACGTTCTTCGCCCTGAACAGCGCCCGGCTGAGATCGACCAGAGGAAGAGGGCCGCCGGTGCCGGGTGGGGGGGGGGGGGTGTGCAGAGGGGTGAGGGTGGGGGCAATAGTTTGTGCTGTTTGCTGTTTGATGTGGTCACTTGGGACCATTGTCCAAGAATCTCCTTCAATCAAGACGAAGGAGCGACCCAATAGTTTCACTCCTTGGGGACCATTGATCAAGCATTCTCTTCCAATCAAGACAGAGGAGCGACCCAACTGTATTGTTGGTGTAACTATTATAGTCACTTGAGACCATCGACCAAGCATATTGTATACTTCAGTCGAGAAGGAGGAGGGACTCTCAAACCAACCTGAGAGCCACCCGGCGGAGGCTGGAAGACACCTTCCCAGGCGCGTCGATCATCCGGTGGCAGCTGGCCAGGCTGACGTTAATCACCTTCGCAAGGGCAGTTTGGGCGAAAGCCACACACATGGCGGGGGGGGGGTCAGAGGCACAGAGTAGGGCATGTGTGTGATGCTATAGATACCCTAGTTTCGTGACGCATGCTACTGCACCGCTTCTCTCCGCATGCAGCAAGCACTCTCACTACCTCCTGTGTGGTTGAGTTCAAAATGTATACCTGCTCATCCTCAAGAACTTCCGCGCGGTGACACGTGCAGGTAGTACCAGTGTTCCACCAAATGCCAACGTTGACATTCAAGTGAGTTAAGAGGTAGAGACAGCATCCGGGTGAAACACTAAAAAAAAGGAAACCGACATAATGTCCATCGGACTTCCTCCGCTTCCAAGAACGGACGGGCTGCCCTCTGCCACAAGCCGGGAACACCCCGAGCGCTTGAAACCAAGCAAATAAGCCCACGTCACCACAGCCACCGCGTGCTCCCTCCCTTTCACTCGCCCAGAAAACCAAGCCCACCCACACCACGAACCCTCTCGTTTTGAACAAAAACGAATCGAGCTCTACTCACCCTGACAACACCCCTCCCCTTGATTCCAGATTCCAAAGCCTACAATCCCCCCTCGCCGCCCCTTTCGTAGACAAACGAGGCGTTTCGGGCGTTCATTACCTTGACAGGCGTTACCGCGCGCACGGATTCTCCCCGGGGCTGTGCCGAAACGACCCCTCCCTCGCCGAAGAAGTCGCCGGGTCCCATGGAAGCCACCCTGTGTTCGGTCAAGGGGAGGAATGAGGAAACACAAGACGAGAGAATCGCGTCCGACGCGCGACCGTTTAGTTCTTTCGCTGCCGTACCGTGGGAATGCTGTTTCGAAAAGTAAATCAAGTGCATGACTGACTCGAGAGAGAGAGAGAGAGAGAGGAGAGAGAGAGAGAGAGAGAGAGAGAGAGAGAGAGAGAGAGAATCTGTCCCGAAGGCGTACCGAAAACCACCCTTGGCAATGGCAATCGAAACTCAACGGCGGTGGTTTTCGCTAACAGTTGCCTCGTCATGGAAGAACCGAGGCAAACCGCATGAGCATGTCTGCGAGCGACAACGGCGGGGCAACCACCGCTGTAGCGTATCAAGTAATCCCTGGTATGCACGTGAGTTTTTCGACGCCACAACAACAATCGTGGCCGCGGGGTATCAGATCCACGCCATCCTCTCCCACGCCGCCCACCCGTCATAGCCACACGATGAAAACAACCAACCACCGTTCATCCGAGGCACCACCACAAACAAAGCGCACCCAGAAAAGGCGTGTTGCCCTCGTCTGACCCAAAAACAGCTAACAACACACAAAAAAGTACCAACACATTCACATTTTCTGCAATCAACAGGAGTTCGCCCCCTCAGGGGCAAAGTAGGAAGGAACGATTGGCCATCGGGCCTATTGGAACAATGCTCCGTCCTCCCGAGGACACGTGGTCGATGGTCTAACCGCTAAGACATTCAAAACATAAGCACGCCCATCCCGTGACAGCTAAGGCATTCGAAACATAAGCACGCCCATCCCGTGAGCGGCACGGCGCGCATTGAAGCATGATTAGCTGCGACCGGAGCATATGTACCAAAGACGTGGGCCATACCAACGGCGGCCGTCCGACCAAGTGCGGAGCATGCGGTGGAACTTGCCGACGGTATATATGTGTATGACAGCTCTCACCCCTTCTGGCGACTGGTCAGCCTTCTCGGAGGAGCTTTCTGTGAATCCCGAAGAAGGCTTCTATTGCACAATGTTGTCTACCACAGACAAAGAAAAAAAAAGCAGAAATATGTAGGCGTGGTGTGGCCGTCCCTAGCTCACCTCGTGTGGGCGTGGTGTATCGGCGTCGGCGGCCGTGAGTCGGCGTTCGTCGTAGCCGGGGATGATCCGCCTTCGTCCCCGGCGCCACTGCTCTGCCAGCCCGCGCTGTTCACGAGCACGTCCACGCGCCCTTCGACTATGAAGTACAGGCCACCATCGGGCGCGTCTCCCTCCCTGAAAACGCGCAACAGGATTGACGGAAAGAGGGTTCAAAAAGAGAAAAAAAAAAAAACGGCGAAAACAGATAAAGACTGCGACAAACAGCGACAGCTACAACAATAATAGCAACAACTTCGATTCCGACGCGACGGCCAGCCGTTGTATACCTCAATAAAAACGCTAGCGTATTCCATATAAAAACACAGGGGAGGGGGGGGATGGGGCATGACGAATGATGACCCAAGAAGAGAAACAAACACGCGAATGCTTCGAACACGTCGAGCGACAAACAGAAATGAATGCAACAACAACCCCACAACAGAAACAACGACAAGGAAGCAAATGTTCACCTAAAGACAAACTCCCCGGGCGGGTACTCGGTGGTCTTCAGGTGGTCCAGAAGAAGGTCCTCGAAGTCGGACATGTCAAGCCCGTCCTCTTCCTCCGCGGCCGCCCTTCCCGCCTCCTCCGGCTCGTACTCCTTATCCTCTAATGCCGTGGACAATGACGCTAACGTCGTGGCCGTGGCCGCTGCCGCCGTTGTAGTACAAATACTGGTAGCGGTTGCTGTGGCCGTTGTCCCCAGGATCGACGTCGCCGCCGGTGGTGTTGGTGGTAGTGACAGGGCCGTTGTCGATAGCCTCTCTCTTGCTGCGATCGCACCACCCCCGCCTGCCGTCGCCGTCGCTGCTTTCGAGTCCTCGTTGCTGCTGCTGCTGCTGCTGCTGCTGCTGCTGCTGTTCCCCCCGTTACCGCTGGCGTCTTCTCCCGTGATGGCGGCGGTAGCCCGGAATTCGACTTGCCCTTGCGGCCTCAACCGCGTTTTTGATCCAGATGGCCGCCTGCAGGTTTACAAAAACATACACACAGCGGAGAAAGTGCGGGGATCCGGACTGACACACGCGCGCCAGGGGGTTCACCTACATTTTGCTGTTCGCCTTTGGATATTGTTCGTCTAAGTTTGTTGCCTGGGAGGCCGGCACCCTGGCTGGCGACTCTAAAAGGGTATTACACGAGAGCGTGTTTTATATTTTCTTCATGGTTTCGTCTTGTAAACATCAATAATAAAACAACAACCACAAGCAACAGAAACCACAGTAACACCAAAAGCAATCAGCGACAGAAAACAACACCAACATCAACATCAACATCAACATCAACAACCAGCAACAACATCAACAGCAACAACGCAGACCTGAAGTTTCTGGCGACAGACACCGCCTCGTCGATCGCCCTGCGCTCGTCCTCGCTCACGGATGCGCTGTGCTCTTCTAAAACACCCGCGATGTCCTGCAGGACGTACGTACAACATATTCAAGAAGGCGGCAGGGAAAGGAGAGCGCGGGCGGAGTGAAATCAAAAGTGGAAATACGTATGCAACTCGAACCGGAAGAACAATGAAGTCATTCCCTGAGTCTGACAATTGACAATATCATGTTCCAAGTCGACATGGAGATAGACAACACTGGATGATAGCAGAAGCAAAAGCAGGACACAAATGTCAACGAAAATGAGTGAGCTCAGTTGCAGCCTAAACAGTCACTGGCCATTGCTTGCCCTACACATATTTTGGCATTGTGACGCAACGGGACTAGGGGGCGGTCGGAGCAAGAGGACAGAGGTCGTGCGTCTCGGTTTCAACAAAATAACGACGAGTTTGCTCGGCATCCCGGACGTTGATCAATTCCAAGGTGCGTCGAGCAAAATACCAACACCAGAGCCAACAACAACAACAACAACAACAAAAATCACACTGAACATACAGCAGCAGAGAGCAAGAAAGAAAAAAACAACAACAACGCCGTCGAACATCAACCAAATAACGTCGCTTGACGATTCGGAAGGACACAAAGGGAGACCGCACCAGCATGGAGGTATACATACACCAGAAAAAAACGCTTGTAACCGTGAAATGTACGGGGTCCCGTACCATGGCGCTGATGCGACCCGTTCCACGGCGGTCGAAAGCCCGGTAGGCGTTCTTGACGACGTCCACCGCCTCCACAACTCCTCGAGACCCTTCCGCGTCGCCGGTGCCGGTGCTGCTGCTGCTGCTGCTGCTGCTGTTCCTGCTACTGCTGTTGCTGCCCATGTAACCGCCGTACGGGTTGAACGTGTATTGGTCCCGGCTGTTTCCCTGCGTGACATCGTCACAGGAGGATTGGGGAAAAGCAGAAAAAAATCGGAGGTGGATGGGTGTTGTGTCTTCTGGTGTTGGTTATGCTTTTGCGGCTGTTGGTGTTGGTGTTCTTCCTCGTATTGATGATTTTTTGCCAGGTTCCACGCGTCGGCCGCACGTGGGACAACAGCAACAGCAAAAAACAAACAAGGCGAAAACACCCTTGTGAAAAAAATAGTTTACCTCGGCCACAGCTCCTTCCACAAGCATAGACACCACCCCCGTCTCCAGCTTCTGGCTTAGGACTTCCCGGAAACGGGCCAATCGAGCGTCGCTCCCTTTCAACGGCCTCTGCGGTGCTGTTCTCCCCTGCAGCAGCAGTAGCAGCAGCACAATTCGTGTTTCAACAGATAGGACGGGGAGGTCAACGATGTCTCGACGGAAAGTATTTTAGTTTTTTGTGGTTCCTCGAAGAAAAAAATAAAATAAAAGGATCAGGGATGAGATGCCATTCACCGGACTGCAACAGCACCACGTGTTTTCTGCCGCGTGTCTGTACACGCGTCCGAAGAATGCGGGAGCCACAACCGAGAGAGGTGAGAAACCTCGAAACGAAAAAAAGAAAAATGGAAAACAACAAAGAGAAATATCGAAAAAAGAAAAAACGGAAAAAAAGGGAAAAGAGAAAATTCGACATGAAACAGCAACAGATGTTCCATATGCCATACCTCATCTTGGCGCGTCCAGAACTGTACCCAAAAATAAAAGGACTGATACCAGAGTAAATGGGATGACAAAAACAAAACATACATCTATGCTAGTACAAATCTAGGTAAATGCGGACCTCTCAAATAGGGGAGGAGATCACCGACAATGCAACACTGAGGGGAGCAACCTCTAATCTTGCCTCAAGCCTCCGGTAAGAAAAACATTAACACAACGAAAAAAAATCCTGTGCGACACCTTGAAGCTCCAATCGGGTTTTGCCGAAGAGGTCGACTCTGCACTGCAATGCTCTATTTAGGTCAACACACAACGGTAGCGCCGAGTATTTAAAGTTCGATGCTGTACACCAATCGTCTCAGCCTCTCTCTCTCTTTCTCTCTCTCGCTCTCTCTCTATTCTGCCTCTTATGAATAGTCTGCCCTTTCTCTCTCCCCCTCTCTGCAGTGGCCGTTTTCTCTCTCCCTGTCTCTCAATGAATAGTCAGTCCGAACTCCCCCTCTCTGCAGTGGTCGCTTTCTCTCTCTCTCTCTCTCACACACACACACAAATACACACCTGTATCCACGGGTGCTGCATCATCTCCTCCGCTGTAAGCCTTTCCTTCGGGTCCCTCGTCAACAACCTGGTTGCAGTCACGTCATGTCGCCATCACATCGTCATTGGTCATACTTGCGGCATTCGTTGTCGTTACATCAACCCCCACCTAACACTTCTCCAAACGATGCCTTGTTAACCTAAACTCTGACCTCAATGCCCTTCCCGGTCCACAAGGCACGCAACACTGCGATGATACTTCATTGGAATCATTTCTTCACAAAAAACGGAGAGACGACGCTCGCAGGATCCAACTACCGTACGGCCTCTCCTAAAGGCCTCCCATGGCGCGACTTGAAGGAAGCCCTCTTTTCTGCGCGTCGCTGGACTGCCTACACACAAGAAAGTAAGTTCAACACGAAATAAGACCAGGGTTAGGACGAAATAAGACCAGGTTTAGGGCAAAGGGTTAGGGCGGCATGCAGACCCTAATCCTAACCCCAACTCCGCCGATTCCATACATTTATCAAGTATGTTTGACAAGTTAGAAAAACCAATGCATGTGTAGACTGTTACCGCCACTCGCCTGGAGATGAGATCCTTGGCAGAGTCGGAGATGCCTCTACCTAGCTCTAGGAGCGGGACAACTCCCGAGCGCACTCTCTTGATCACTTCTTCCTCCTCCGAGTTGCTGTCGAGGTCGAACGGATGCGTCCCACAGAGCATGCTGCAAGTTGCAGGGGGGAGCAGAAACAACGAGTAATTGGGCTGCAGAAAAAAAAAAAAAACACACACACAACTAGGTCACGCAAGACAATTCGACCATCTCCATTTCTCGAGTCCCACAGAGGCATGCTGCAAGTTGTATTGGGGGGGCAGAAACAACGAGATATTGGCTGGCAGAGAAGGAAACCAACAGCTAATAGGGTCCACACAACACTTTGGATTCATTGCTATTGTATATCCTGTACCCTCTCTTGGCTGTGGTAGCAGGTGAAGTTGTTTTTGTTCTGGTACGAAAAGATACAAAAAAAAAGAGTAACATATCGATAAGGTGTAATGAATGCGGGGAAAATAGAGACGTGTGTGAAGAAAGTGAAAGCGGGGATGCTAGCGGAGAACGAGAACCATGTAAAAAATCAGTATCAAAATCAAAATTGGACTGTGATTGGTCAAGACCAAAGACAACGCCTGAGCATAAAATATGCCTTCGGGGGACCTCTTGAATCAAGTTAACAAACTCAAATATCAAAACCAAAATCTTGTTTTTTCCGGCCAACCGAGCCCATCTTGATTTTGGTTTTTTCGATCTCGATTTTTGGAAATTCGGTAATACATGGCTTCGCAACTTGCGCGAACGACTTCTGCATGCAGAAGTTAGTTGTGTGAGTGAGGTGCACTTGCTGGAAAAGCTCTTCTCGACAGAGAATAACGTAATTGGTAGTTCTATCCAGACAAATGGTACTCGGTTGAGAAAGCTTTCGAGTGGGCGGTATTCCAGACAACTCCTGAGTGGATTGCTTCCTCGCACAACCAAGACACCGCCGGGAGGGGGGGGGGGTACCGCCCTCTCCGGTGCCTAACATACATACATACAGAAGTGGAAACAATGAAAACGAAACGGCGTACCCCCCTGGCTGCCGCCCTTACATGAACAAGATGCAACCGACGGCCCACATATCCAGCGCCGGCGTTACCAAGAGCTCGTGACCCTGCTGCTGCCCGCTACCACCACCACCGCCAACACCGTCGTTAGGGAGAGGCTCCTCGTCCAACACCACAGCCTCCGGGGGCAGGTACCAAGTCGTCCCGAGCGTCGAGTCGTCGAGGTCGATCGCGGTGCCGGTTCGCATGGAAGAGCCAAAATCCACAACCTGTGTGTAAGTGAGTCTTGGCTTTGTATTCAGAGAGCTTCCCAGGAGGAGAGGTCCACCCCCCACCAACGCATCCCAGTGCAACTTCAAACTTCCAAGTATTGGGCAGGACGTTTGAGTCGAACGCACAAACACGTCGTCGTGGGCATATCACCTATGCACATGCATAACCAAGGGGACCGCCTCCGCGGGATATTCAGTATCATAAGGAAAAATAACAAGGAGGGGGTACGCAGACCGTATTCCCTAACCCTAACCCTATCCCAACTTCCCCGATGGCATGCTTTATCCAACATGTTTCCTTCATACAAAAACCCTGCGAAGCCTAGTGAACCAAGGAGGGAGGGGGGGGGGGGGTAGAGATTCCTGACTTGTCACCCAGGCTGGTCGCGGCGTCAAGTTATATTGCGGGAGGCGTAGACTGGCGCCCAGAATAGAGATTAGCACAGCCCAGGTCTCTCTTTCCACGGCTGCATCATCAAAAGTTTACAACAGAGATAACTCTCTCGCGTGTGTACAGATCACATAGCAGCGTTACATCTCACCTTGAGCTTCGACTCCCCCAGGTCCCAGGAGCTGAGCATCAGGTTCTCGGGCTTGAGGTCCGCGTGTATGATCTCTTGCGAGTGCAGGAACTGCAGGGCGGCGGCCAGCTCCCTCATGAAGGCCGCCGCCTTCGCCTCCGAGTACGGACCGTTCCTCGTAAGGTGCTCGAACATCTCCCCGCCAGACACCTGCAGCGGTCGAGCCAAGCCGTTTCGTCGCCAAGGCGTTGGTACAACAGCGAGACACCAGCGGCACAGCAGTAATTTTGTCTGCGAGCTTACCCTCAGCCCGCCATCTCTGTTAGATGCGACTCTTCCCGTTTTCTTTAGACTGCTGCGTTGTGGCCCACACACGAAGGTTGTCAAAAAGCGTCTTCTTCGAATGCGAACAGACGGGTGAACGCGGAACGAGGAACAAACTACTTGTAGATGCATGCCTGGCTCTGAACATAGCGGCGAAAAATAATGCACGCGTGCAGGTAAAATCAGCTCTGACACAAAAAATACTTCTGGTGACTGCCTCTTGGTGAACACGACCTTCGCCAGCGCTACACGCTTTGGGACACGACGTGGTGCCCGACAGCCTCGGCTCGGCAGAGAGGAGGGGGAGGGGCTTGTTTCGGTGTGCCCATCCATCCCCGGGTCTCGCTCGTACTTCCGCTGTGGAGACACGGAGCGAACAACAAGCAAAGACGACCACCCACAAACAGCGACACTCACAAGCTCAAGCACGAAGAAGTAGAAGGTCGAGTCCTCGAACACATCCAGGACGCGGGCTATGTTGTCGTGCCCTCCCGCCGCATGGATGGCCTTGAGGGTGGTCATCTCTACAAAAACGCGGACGGAGATGGGGACGGGCGCACGCGTCAGTTACCTAGTCCGTTCCGTGTAACATTTGGTTCCTTGTTCCATTCCATTCCGTCCCGTTCCGTTACGGGGGGGGGGGAGCTTCGAAGTTCGTGCGCATCTTTCAGAACAATGATATTTGTATTTCCATGTACGTACGTATTAATGGTCTAATATTTTGTTCGCGTTCATTTCCGCGGCGGCGAGAACAAAGAGCGGCGACACTTCGCACACAAGAAGACAATGACATACACCCGGATATCGTGCGCCACACCTGTCGCGTCCTCATGGCCGAAAAACAAATGGAACGGGACGTACCTCCTCGTTTCGCCAACGTCGGGGGAAACTGAGCATAGTTGAGAGATTCGAGACACCTTTCCGAGATTCTCTCTACAGTCTTGATCCTCGGCTTTTGATTCTCCCGGCACAATCGGCAACGTTCACAGTACGAACCACCAATCACCCGCCCTCGAACATCTCCAACCCAAAAAAGCTGGTGGTCGCTTCCAGCCCGACCACAAATGGCAAAAAAAAAAAATGTGCCTTTTCACTTTCACATGTAGTCCCCGCGCCCAACTGGAACAGTCCAAAAAAAGAAAAAAGGGGTCAACAGGAGTACTTGCAAGAGTGCTAACCTTGGAGGACCCCTCCGCATTCCCGTGACACCGGTTTTCCGACAACGCAATAACCTACAATTCCTGCCGTTACACAACGCTAGTGCGTTCCGTCGACGGCAGCAAACCCAGCAACACATTCATGTCAACGATCCAGCAGCAGTACTGCTGCTGTAGCCCAGCCGCCCACCTTGAAGTATCTCTTCTCTCCGCACTCCCAGCTTGCTGATCTGCTTGAGCGCCACTCTTCGGTCGGACCCCACAGGACGGGCCTCGTACACCAGGCCGAAGCTCCCCTCCCCCAGCAGACGCCCGATCTCGTACTGTCCCAGGAACCTTCACACAACAACAGCGGTAATCATTTCCACCTTGTTAGCCGGCCGACTGGTAGTCCTCAGTACACACCCATATCAAGACTGGAACGAGAAAAAAACCGTTCTGTGCAGCCTTGTTCCCATCATTCGTAACGGCCTTCAGCTTCAATAGCGGTAGTCTAGGCATGTGCGTATGACCCATCGGTTCTATTTTTTCCGGTGCGCGGGCACTGATCGAAGTGGCTTCTGCGAGGCCTGTTCCGCGGCGGGGGAAGCTATCCCGCACCCATCGATTAACTGTTGGTCAGCACGAGCAAATGAAAATCCGCAGCCGCCCTTCATATGACGGAGAAAAACTCTGCCACAGTAGCAGGAGCAGCAGCAGCAACCCAGACCACTGCGTGGCCCGTTACACTGTTGCTAATGCTCTGAATTTGCTCGCTTCGATGTGTCGCACGCCGACACTCCGTACGCCAAGGCGTTCCGCAACGACATCCCACGGGGAGAAGCGTCGCGTTTCGAGCTTCGGGGAGACTTAATCCGCTCTACATGAGTCAGCAGATTGAATGCGGTGAACCGGTCTTCCGCCGCTCTGTCCGGGGGGGTTGGGGAGCGGGGGGCAAGAGCTCTGCCAGCACCACTTTTCAACCCTTCACGACGGTTCACCAGCTTGCAAAGAGCGCGCACCTGCACCGAGCCCTCTCGACGATACGTTGTTCATTTTTCCCGCAGAGTATCATCCCCAATTGTTCACGTCACCACCCCCGCGCTACCCGACACATGGCCCCTGTCCCGGTAAGTTCAACTGCTCAGCCATGTTCATTGCCCGCGGAACAACTGCTGTGTCACGCTTGGGGGACGAAAAGATTGTTGGTGCACCGGACTTTTTTTCTCCCCACATGTTGTTTTCTTTCTGCCTTGCGCTGGTATTCGTTGTTGGTCGAATTCTCACCCTCCTTCCACGGTCATGTCCTCCGCCCCCCCCACAGTCTCTCCGGCAAACGCCACCGCACCGCCACCCCCCCCTCCTGTTCTCTTCGTCTGCAGTGCCCCTCCTCCTCCTGCACCGCCGCCGCCGCCAAACGATCCGAGCGGGCTGTTAATACCTTCGCTACCATTAGCCATAGTACCACCCAGCGAGGGATCAAACAGCCCCCGAACTACCGGCAGTTCTGCTTTGCCAGGGGCTACCGCCGCCGCCGAACAGCCGGTATCGTCGTTGGAGGACGATGCCGACGTTGCTACCAACACCGCCGCCCCCGCCGCAGCCGCAGCCGCCGCAGCCGCCGCGGCAGCTGCTCCGGTCGGCCAAGCGCTTTCCCTGGCTCCAGCATGCTGGCTGTATGGCCGTTCGGTGGTGCCGATGGCAGCGGCGGCGCCTATATTTCGGGGTTGTACGTAGCGCACACGGCGACTGCTGTAGCGGTTGATGGACCTCGCGCTCCACCTTAGCCCCGCGGTGCTGCTCGGAGAAACAACAGGGAACGATAACAGAAAGAAGCATGGACGGGTTGGCGATTGCTATGAAGGACGGGGGGGTTCTCCTCTGCCTGTTGGCTCTAGGCTCGCATAACAGCAGCCTAGAGAAGAATAATATAAAACCATTGGCTGGGACAGAGAGCGGTTTCTGTTGCTCTTGGGCTGGACGGTGTGCTGCTGTGCATACTGTTGTCCGCATTGAAAGAGAGAAAGCGTGTGTCCCTTACCTCTTCCTACAACAAGGTACAAGGTGAACAATTACCATGGTGTTGTGCCTTTCACCACAGAAATGAAAAAAAACTGTCAACTCTTCGCTCTCACAACCTTCCTCACACAAAAGTACAGTACACTTGAGTTCTTAGCAGGTTTATGCGGTTACCCGCTAGCCCGCCGGGGCCGACGGCACCGCTACCGCTGTGTGCTTGCTGGTGAATTTATTGTCAGCACCGACCACTCTCCGGCAGGTCGAAGAAAATACGTCAGTGGTGTGTCAGTTTGTACAGTACGTGTTTCATTTCTCGGCGCTCCTCCGTGGGATAGCAAGAGTTGATTCTGTTCATCGAGGAGAGGAAACAAGCCGGTGGGCACAGACGCCCATGATCGCCTCTCCAATCGCCAAAGCAAGGGACACACTGCCGTAGCTGCATCGTGACCAACGGACGGCTCGACTGATGTACTGACTGATGTACTCGATGATGTACTGCTGTTTGAAGAAAATCAAGACACGCCGCATTTGTCAACCATTGTTGGCTTGTTCCGGACAGCTGTTGTGGTCAGTAGTTCCGACCGAGACGCAAGCACGTTACCTAATTCTCTCTAAACCTCCTCACTATCGCAAACCTAGACCGAGCTATGTCCTCCTGCTGCTCATTCCCGGGTCGGCGAGCCGCCTCCCCGCTTCCGCGCATGCGAGCATGCGAACGTACGATCCACCCGCAAGGTTGAACTTGATTCCCAAACGCAACTTGAAAACGGGTGATTCGGCCAAGGCGTGTGTGGCGAGTAGCACCATGTGATACCACGTTCTCACGAAAAGAGAGGCGTGCTATTCATCTGGCAATCGCCCTTCCTACGAGACAGGAGCATTGGCGTGTCTCGCTACATGAGAAGGCCTGTGGCCTTTTGGCTCCGTGCCTTTGCCTCACCTCAGGCGGCGTCGAAACGGCTGCTGCTGGCCGTGCCGTCGGACCGTTGATCTGGCTCCCTCTCTGGCGAAAGAGAGCATCGCTTCTGATGACGGGTGGCTCTATGTGTCCAAGCAAGCAGTGTTCGGATCAAGGAGGACAAGGAGACAAACGCAGGCAATCTACCCCCCCCCCCTCTTCGCGTCACACACACACGCTCAGCGTTCAGCCTTGACGTTTGGACAGGTGGAGCGGCGGAGAGAGGGTGACGGCGAGGAGAGAGTGGAAAAAGACGAGTCTCTCCGAATTCCGAAATATATCTCTGAAATTTCCGAAAAAAAAAATCGAGAGAGACGGTTCCCGCGACAACGCCTCCCGAACTAAGGTAGGTGTGGGTTGGTTCGGAGGAGCGGCCAAAGGCCAAAGCAGCTCTGTCTCTCTGTCCTCTGCTCTGTACCCGCAATGGACGCAACCCTTCCTGTACGAGGTGACGTCGTGTAGAGTTCCGGCGTATTGTAAATGCGAGCGAGCGAACGAGGGAGAGGCTACCGTAACAGCTTTAGGAGTCTGCCCAGTGTTTTTCTACGTAAGCAAACATACACTGGGGGTAGCAGTACATTTTACCATCCGTGCGAAGGGATCTTTACTTCTAAATTTACTGTCTCCTCATTGGTTGGAGATGCGCGTGCGCGCGCTCCCTCGGTGAACCTCTTTTTGGTTCTATTCACAAAGCTCTCCTGGGGTGGGGAAACCCCGGCGCTGTAGCTAGCTACATTTCTCCGCACGCCGCGCACGAGGTGCGCGTGCTGTGAAGGACGGACAGGGCGGCCGTGCTACCTTATCGACACGTAGCCTCTAGAGGGAGGCATTGCATAGCGTGGCTTCCACCGTTGGCCACCACAGCAGCGGTCAGTCGTTGATGCAAGGAGGTGAGCGGCATGCTGCCGAGCACGGGCTCTGCTGGCGGCGCGCATCATGATGCTGATCATGATGCAGGCGCGGATGACTGCGTGGATGGTGCGGCTGGTCGCCAGCACAAGCCGTTGTCGCACCCCTTGCCCGCAGCCCCATGCGCGAACACTGGAGAGAGTTCCAACTTCTTGCAGCAAAACCCTCCTCGAGAACGGACAGCGACCTCTTCCGGTAGCGAGCCGTCGGGCAATTCCCATCTGTCGGTCAGCGGCGCGCCTGGCGGTGTAGCCACCGTCGCGAACACATTTCCTTGCGACACTCCTGCGGCTATCGGAGAGGCTTGCAGAAGTGTGAGTGGACGTGAATCACCACCAGCGAAACGCCACGCGTCGCAAAGCCCATCATCCCGGGGGAGTTTGGGACGAGATGCAAGAAATTCATGCGAGGGCTTCGGGGCCGGTGAACGTCGCGGCAGGGTGCTGCACTCGTTCCTTGCTACAGCTGTGCAGATGTCCCAAGCATCGGAGGCCTTGGGGACGCCAGGGGAGCTATCAGGTGATGGTTTCGAATTCGCGGAACCACATACGCCCCTTTCGTCTGCCATTGGGGTACATACGGGACCGGGATACTGCTCTACCGGTACGCACGGGCCGAGTGCACCACTATAATACTACATTCGGAGGTAGAGGGAGTAGCGCAGCTAAACTATGAACGCTCACGCCAACTTGGAGCAATGTTGCCACCATGGCAGCGCCTAGCCAACGAAGTGCGGTGGCGACCGCAGCAGCAGCAGCAGCAGCAGCAGCAGCAACAGCAGCAACAGCAACAGCTGTCAGCCGCCGGTTGCTTTGGAGGGGTATGGCCGCCGCCCCGGCCGCCGCCACGGCTTTTGATGGCGCAGCAGGGCGCAGCTGGCGGGGCGGTGTTACAGCCGCAGCGGGATAGACGGGTACGTCAGCCACTTCCGCCGCTGCCGTTGCCTGTGCAGCAGAGGACGGCAGGTGGCATCGTCGGTGACGCCCTGAACGGCCATGGTTTACATCTGGTTTTGCAGCATGGCGCACCGCATGGCTCAGGGACAGGCGGTCATGAGGAGGAAGACGAGGGGGGGGGGGGGGGAGCAAAGGATGCCTCCAGCGGAAAGCCCGTCCCTGTCATCGTGCCTGCTAATGCTACGTTGGCGAAGCGCAGCTGGTGCTGTTCGAAAAGCAAGACAGTTACTTCGATTTGTCGTGGGTGTCTCAAACGATGGCATTGCCACGTCGACCATGGGCTGGTCGACCTTACCAAGGATCGCTTCATTTGCTGCTTCTGCGATACGAAGACGAAGTCGGCATGTCTGTGTCACGCGTGAGTACCCAATATCGTTTTCCGCTGTTCAGTTTCTTTGTTCAATTGCAATTCTCTTGAATTATATGACCAAGAGTGATGTGCCAAATCGAGTTCTCGGATGCTTCTCGCACACGTGGGTGTCACCCGATTCGATGCCACCCATGTGGTTTGTTTGAGAGGAATATGCAACAATATCTTGACTTCCACAGCGCTCGCGCAGCCTGGTAGGCTGTCACCTGTTTTCACCTAGTTACTCCGGGAATGTTGCTGGTGATCTGTATCGACTCCAACTTTTCTGGTTGCTTGACCATCGGTGTTTGTTATGTCTTCACCCTCTCGCAGTGCGACCAAGACCGGAGCGTCCACAATACGACCTGCTCTCAGCGTGCGTGCTGTACGTATACTCATTTCCCCCCCCCTCTATTCTTCCCACCATCACATGCTTCGTACTCATACAGGTGCAAGAAGAACAAAGCTGATAAGCGAGCGGCATCCCAACGAGGTCAAGCCGGCCACATCCACGGGAGTAGCGTGTCCCGAGTGATTCACCGCCAGGCTCGAACCAGCGCTTTCAAGCTCCGTCTGCCTCTCACGGTGGCGGCGCGCAACTCTAGAGATAGACAAAAGGCACTGTTTTCGGTCTCCACTACCGCCCGCGGCGACCGTGTCATGGTCATCACCGACGTCACCGCCGAGCAACCTGGTGCGCCTGCAAGCTGCATCGTGAACTGCTGCGATAACCGATGCCACAAGTGAGTCGATGTAGTAGTTGGGGGATGTCACGAAACAACAGTGCTTGTGTGGTGTTCGATACTCTTCCTTCTCACCGGCAAATCTCCGATCGAAACTACACGTTATTGTTGCAACCCAACGCTTGTATAACTCGTTTGGAAAAGAAAGACATTTGCAGGGCACAGGTAGGGGCCCGGCCGTTCTGCATTCTCATTTTATTTTTCGACAGTTGCTGCTCGCTAAATTTATCAGAAATTAATCGGCATATATATTTTTTTCTGACGATGCACTGTCACTTTCACGGTTGCTTTCGTTTGGTTTTGCAGTGTGCAAGCGGAACCCGAGCACGCGCCAAACGCCGAGCAGGTTGCAGCGGGCCAATGTGAGCACGCTGACGTCATTCTCGGAGATGGGACCACTCCGAAGGCGGATATTCCTGAAGCAGAGCCGGTTGTCTTTGGCAAGGATGGGGAAGGGATCGAAAGCGTTGGGGATGCAGCGATAACCCAGATGGTTTTGACTCATGGTTTTGACTCAGGGTAGCTTTGACACCATTCTAAGGATGGCAGCGACTGCAGAGGAGCATGGGGTGCCGCTGTTGATGCGCTTAGGCGAGACTCAGACGTATGTTGTGTACCATCCGGGTCATCGGTCTATTCCTGGCAGCTGGGCACACGTCGAGACGGATTTCCCGCAACCACCCGGGTCGAAGAAAGCGCCATCAACGAGAAGGCGGACCACTGAAAGGAAGCAGATCCAGTGCAAGGTGATAGTCTACTACTGCCGATGCATGACTATTTTTTATTCGGAGCTCTAGAGCGCTTCTGCTGTGTATGTTTTCCCGCCCCAACCTTGAAATTCGTTGTGCAAACCACGCCAGCAATATCGGTGCCTGTGTTGTCTAGCTCGGATGGTA